ATGATCTGCGTCTGATGATCCCCCAGGTCCGTCCTGCTCCTCCCGTTCCTTCGAGCTCCCTTTCTCACCTCCACGTCCTTGCTGCCCCTCCTGCCCCCGCTCCCTCCCTCCCTCCTCCCTCCCTCTCCTCCCTCTCCTCGATGGATCACCGGGAGGCTGCGGGGCTCGGGGGGGAGGACGAAGACGGAGTGAGGAGCAGGTTTGTGCTCGCCCTTCTCGAGGATCGACAGAATCTTTCCCAGCTGCGACTTCACCTGCTCCTCCTCTTCCACCATCCTATCCAGTCGCTGCTGCATGCTCGAGATTTTGCTCTCCAAGTTCATGCAGCAGTTCTTTGACTTCTCCTCCTTCTCCTTCGCCTCCTCCTGCTCCTCCTGCTCCTCCTGCGGATCGAAGACCGCGCTCTTCCATGCGGCAAAGGAGGTGCACATGCTTGACTTGAAGAGCTTGTCAAGGATCTGCTTTCTCGTCTTCGTCTGCTTCATCGCGCTCGCTCCCACGTCCTTCTTCTCCATCTGATCCACGAACGAGATGAGCATCTTGACGGCGAAGATAAGCTGCTGTAAGTTCTGAATAGACCGCTTCCTTCCATCGATCTCATCCTTGCTGATGAACGAGCAGCGGAAGAACTTCTCCGACTGTCCTGGACTTCAGAAATGTGGAGAAGACGCAGGAGCATGGGAATGAGCCGGTGGACGGGGAGAAGAGGAGGTGGTGGAGGAAGAGGAGCAATGCAACATGACAAGCAGTGGACAACCTGAACAGTCTGACCATCTTGAAGACTCGGACAAGACGGAGAACGTTGATCGCAGGGATCTGGTCAAAGATGACCGAAGCCAGCGCGAGAATGACGACAACAAAATCTGCGGGGGGGGCAGGGAGAGGGTCAGGAGGAGAGCTCTGTCGTCGCCTCCTCACCGAACACATTCCATCCGTCCCGGAAGAATTTGTTGAACCAGTGCCCGAAAAGGTTAACGACCAGCTCCTGCTTCCACGCTCAGCTGGGGTCAAGGTCGGCAAGTAAGCGAGCAGCACCAGAGTGAAGACGGCTGTGACGGCGAGCTCAATGATCCTGAAGTTTCTGTCCATGTCGCTTCCGCTCTCCGGCAGCAGCTGCGCGTTTGCCAGGGAAGCGACGTAGGAGAAGAAGATGACGAGGCCGATGGCGAGCTGGAAGCCGAAGCTCTCGTACAGCTCCCGCGCCAACCTCCTTTCCCGCGCCAACATCCCCACGTCTCCCTTCGCCAGCTCAATCCTCTCTGCCACCTTCTTCGCGTGCTCGATCCCAGCCAGCCACTTTTCCAGCTCCTGCTTGTCGCCAGCTCGCAGCACGGTTGGCCTCCCAGAGTTTCGCCCGTTGGGGATGGTGTAGACGGTGAAAACGTTAGGCTCCTCCTCCTCGTCCTCCTCCTCGTCGTCGCCCGCGAAGTAGATCTGGTCGGAGAACTGCATGTCAGCCTTCTTCAACTTCTTCGAACGTCGCCCGTCGCGCTCTTGTTGCTTGAGACTCCCTTGGTCGTCGTGCCGCTTCCTGACATTGTGCACTACCGACTTGACCTCGACGAGGGGGATGAAGTCGATCAGCAGGTCCGTGTCTGCCTTGCCGAAGTTGATCCGCGTCTGGGAGAGCATAACCCTCCTCTTCTGCCACGTCACTCCCACAGGACTGAGCGACGAGGCCTGTCAGCAACGCAAGAGGAACAGCAGCGAGTGATTCACCTCACTACTTGTCGTCCCAACTCCGACACGAGGCTGCACTCGCTCGCTTGCGGCAGCTTGGCGGCGCTCTCGTCGTTTTCCTCGTTCTTCTTAACATGACCATGTCGGATCCCCATCATCACAGCCGCCATGATGCAGCCCCTGCTCGCCGGTAGCAGCTCGGGCCTTTGCTTTGGTTTTCCTGATCATCGAATCATGCAGGAGGTCAGTTAAGATTCAGAGAAGAGTCTTCAAGCTGCTGCCCTTGTACCCTTGGGAAGTCATGGCAATCATGGCAACAGCATTCATAACATACAAACGATGCAAGTGTCACACGAGTGAAACCTCATGTGACTGCAAGTGCTTCTCTCGGGCAGATTCTCTTCTAAATCAGGACTGCTCATCTTCCTCTTGGTCTTCTTGTTTACCGTGCATCCTGCTTCTTCGCCGAGTCTCCTGCCTGCCTGCCTGCCTGCCTGCCTGCCTGCCTGCCTGCCTGCCTGCCTGCCTGCCTGCCTGCCTGCCTGCCTGCCTGCCTGCCTGCCTGCCTGCCTGCCTGCCTGCCTGCCTGCCTGCCTGCCTGCCTGCCTGCCTGCCTGCAATCCTTCCGGCTCTCTTCCTCGCCCCCCCCCCCTCTTCGGGCTTCTTGAAGTTCCTTCCCCCTCTCCATCTTCGATCCCTCTCCTCCTCCTCCCCCCCTCTCCGTCTTTTGCGCGGCCGCCTCGCTATGCGGCGCCATCGTGACCGGCGTCAAGCGACTGATCTGTCAAAGTACCCCCTACCCCACCTGCAGAGGGTCGTCTCCACCCGAGAAAAATAACTTCCATCACCCCTTTCCCTATTGTAACACCCCTTGTACAAATGTACCCCCTCTTTACCTGATATTATCCCCCTCTTTAGCTAGCAACTTCTGTAAACGAGTACCCCTACCACCTCAAATCTCTCACCTACCCACAGGCCCTTGGTACTGCTGGGGTCATCATAGTAGGGGGGGGGTAGGGTAGTGGTCGGGATAAGTCATCACCATGGAAGGGGCTCATTTCGGGCCGGGTATAACCGACGGACTACCGTTGAAGTTTGTCAGACTTGTACTGAGTCAAAGTAATACAGATATCATGTCAACCTTAATTGCAACAAGACAGTCCGGTCACACGTTTGCTCAAGACCGAGTTGAATGCACACGAAACCAGAATTGAGGAGCCTATGAGAGATAGACAACTGTATGCCAGTGAGGCCCAGGCTAGCATCCAGACATGAGAAGACCTTAGGAGCAAGACGGCTAGGAAGGCCTCCTCTTCACTGTTACTGACGGTGACGCGTGCTACATCGCCGTCCTGAAACACATCAGAGTCAGGTTCGTCTGGGGGAGGTGAAAATCATCACGCGTGCTACCGTAGTACATCGCCGTCCTGAAACACAGAATCAGGTTCGTCTGGGTTTACAGGAGAGTTTTGTCAACCCGGCGCCGCAATCTTCCATCAATAACTGAGCCTGTGAGGCCCGGCCCCTTTCCCCCGGTGACCCCCCCGGGCCGGTGGACCCGGCCAGCCTATTACCATCCGAGTCCGTCACAAGGCATCATAACACTGACACTGTACTACCGGGCATGTTGCTGGGGCGGGCTTCCGAGCTGGTCGGCCCCATGGCGGCGCGGCGTCAGAAGTTTGTTGGCGGGAAAGTAGTACTACGGTACCAAGCTCAGCACTTTGTACGGGGTCGTGCTAGTACGGTACTTCAGCAATAACTGTTTGTAAATGCCGAATGTGATGGAAAGTTAGTACCAAAACAGATATTCTCATACTCTTTACAATGAAGTATTATTATCCAAATAATTCATTGTTTGTTCTGACCTAACTTTGTTGTATCATCCCACATGCTTGCGACACGAGGGCTCGTGCTGGCGCTCGTGCTCGTGTTCTCGCCAGAGCATGTGGGCGGCTACTTCCAATCTTTCTCGACATGCTACCACAGGCAGAGCTTGCAGCTGAGGTCTCATCGCAGACAGACCTCGCCGCAAATGCTGGCGCGGCCAGGAATCATGCGGCAGGGCAAGGCTACCTGCTACTACATCGATTCTCCCGCCAACCTCCCGGGGAACATGCAATCAAATTTCGAAGGCTCGATCTTCAGCAGATGTGCAAGTATAGGCTTTCATCGACGGGAGAAACTCCCAGCGGACGAGGAGACGAGGAGAAAGCTCAAAGATAGTGGCATTCTCACTAAAGGATACGCTGAAAGAGTTAACCAAGTGGTGTTCGCCGCGTGCGAAGAGTATTACAAAGAGTGCGCCACAAGACAGATTGATCCTTTGACGATCAGTCGGATGGATGATACTAAAGATATTGACCTCGCTACAATATCGGAATATCAAGCGGACATGTGCTTGACCTTTGACAATGACATCGATCTTCAAACCATCTTCAAGGACGTGGTCGTCAACCCCGCTCAGGATGTAAGGATATTCGGAAAGCATGGAGTCTCATATGAGGACCTCCAAGTCATGAAGGAGGAGTACATCTGCTTTGAAATCACGGAGACGCCTGGCAAAATCTTTGAAAAGCTGTTTCAGGTCAATCGGCTGTACAATGTATTGAAGGGTGAGATGATTGGCGAAGACTCCAAGATTGCGGCGATAGGTTTGTTGACGAATGGCAACAGAGAGGACTTTGAGGTGGTCAGTGGATGTTTGAGCAGGTTCTTCTCTCTGGCCTCTGATCACCATGAATTGACGTCGTTTGTGGATCCTGGAAGCATACCGTTTGTTTTGATTTACACTCCGTACAGGAATATTTATGGTGCTGTGCAAGATCTGAAGGAGAATGTGGACAGGAGGTTCGATGAACTGAAGGAGGATGTGGACACGAGGTTCAATGAACTGAAGGAGGATGTGGACACGAGGTTCAATGAACTGCAGAGCAACGTAACCGCGTTGCAGAGCGACGTAACCGAGTTGAAGAGCGACGTATCCGAGTTGAAGAGCGACGTATCCGAGTTGAAGAGCGACGTATCCGAGTTGAAGAGCGGCGTATCTGCTTTGAATGTTACGATGGGTCTCGTACTGGAGCTTCTCAACAAAAAGCTCAAGTGACTCTTTGTCGAACCTGATGCAGGCTTCAATTGAATGTCGCTGTTGTGTGTTTATTTTTAACACCTCATCATAGAGACTGGAAGGTGAATAAAATACTAAAACGTAGAATGATTGACGGGACTAGTCTGCTCAGGTACCGATGCTCGTTGGCTCTCAAGCAGTGGAAAGGAGTGTAAGGAGAAATGCGCCTACTCGCCATCTTCACTTCGGTTGTGACAGCGAGAGCGAGGGAACAGCAACAAGGAATGCGTGAAGATCCGCTCTCACTTCCATCCTCACTGTGAGACCGCATGGCGCGGCACAAGCGAACTGCCGTCCTCCGTCCTTACAGTTCTGTTGTTGATCCTCTACTGACTGGCACGCCGGGCTCGTCGTCCCACTATCCTCACACAGGCCTTGAGGCTCCTCTGACTCGAGTCGCAGCAGGAAACTCTTCTAGCCCCTGACATGCTGGGGGGACAATCTCTCTCTGCAGCTTCTCTTCCGCAGGTTGACATTTGATTGCCAAAGCAGGCATGACTTCATCGACCGATCCCCCACCCCTACCATCAGCCTACAGTCGATCCCACACCCCTACCATCACCCTACAGTCGATCCCCCACCCCTACCATCACCCTACAGTCGATCCCCCACCCCCACCATCACCCTACAGTCGATCCCCCACCCCTACCATCAGCCTACAGTCGATCCCCCACCCCTACCATCAGCCTACAGTCGATCCCCCACCCCCACCATCACCCTACAGTCGATCCCCCACCCCTACCATCACCCTACAGTCGATCCCCCACCCCCACCATCACCCTACAGTCGATCCCACACCCCCACCATCACCCTACAGTCGATCCCACACCCCTACCATCAGCCTACAGTCGATCCCCCACCCCCACCATCACCCTACAGTCGATCCCACACCCCCACCATCACCCTACAGTCGATCCCACACCCCCACCATCACCCTACAGTCGATCCCCCACCCCTACCATCACCCTACAGTCGATCCCACACCCCCACCATCAGCCTACAGTCGATCCCCCACCCCTACCATCAGCCTACAGTCGATCCCCACACCCCTACCCGCAGGTTGACATTGATCGCCAAAAGCAGACATTACTCATCGGTCGATCCCCCACCCCCCACCATCAGCCTACAGTCGATCCCCCACCCCCACCATCAGCCTACAGTCGATCCCCCACCCCCTACCATCAGCCTACAGTCGATCCCCCACCCCTACCATCACCCCTACAGTCGATCCCACACCCCTACCATCAGCCTACACACAGAGCTCTCCCTCTCTTCGCTCAACAGGTCCACATGAAAGGCACAGAGCTCTCCCTCTCTTCGCTCAACAGGTGTACATGAAAGGCACAGAGCTCTCCCTCTCTTCGCTCAACAGGTCCACATGAAAGGCACAGAGCTCTCCCTCTCTTCGCTCAACAGGTCCACATGAAAGGCACAGAGCTCTCCCTCTCTTCGCTCAACAGGTCCACATGAAAGGCACAGAGCTCTCCCTCTCTTCGCTCAACAGGTCCACATGAAAGGCACAGAGCTCTCCCTCTCTTCGCTCAACAGGTCCACATGAAAGGCACAGAGCTCTCCCTCTCTTCGCTCAACAGGTGTACATGAAAGGCACAGAGCTCTCCCTCTCTTCGCTCAACAGGTCCACATGAAAGGCACAGAGCTCTCCCTCTCTTCGCTCAACAGGTCCACATGAAAGGCACAGAGCTCTCCCTCTCTTCGCTCAACAGGGTCCACATCAACTTCAAGTCCGGAACTCAACCATCAAACGCCCCAACCGCCAGACGATTGATGAGCGGAAGAGTGCGCTACAGTTTACGCTAGACCTGCTGTACGGTTACCCGGGCCTGCATTGCGAGGAAGCGAAGATTATCCGGAGCTTGTGGCATTGTCTCCCACTGCTCCTGCTGAGAGTGAACAGAGTGTTTCTTTTCAACAAGATGGCCAAGCGGATGGAAATAGCAGAGGTCAGCGGGCGGGGCGAGTTACGAGACAGCGGGCATCGCAAGCTAAACGCCCACAACCTTATGGACAAAGTGCAGGCTGCTCTGCACTGGGCTGAACGACCACGAGCTGCACACGCTGAGCCGGCGGTTCTCAGCTGGCGATCAGCTGGTGGACTACGAGGCGATGCTGAGAGAGGATAGAGTTTCACCTTGTGATTTATCAACTGTGCTACAGTAATTCATAAGGAAGGTATCACGGAACTTATTGACTGGTATCTCAATATAGTGAGGTTCATCGTCTCTGATTGTGCAGCAGCGAGAGCCTCAGGCGTTTGACCCCGCGAGCTCGCGACGAGAAGGAGGAGGATACGAAGCCGCGCATGCCAACCTACAGGTAAACCTCCTGCTCCTCCTACTGCTGCTGCTGCTGCTGCTGCTGCTGCTGCTGCTGCTGCTGCTGCTGCTGCTGCTACTGCTCCTCTTCACTCTTCTTGTCTGCTGCTCTGCCTGTGCTGCGTCTGACGGGTGGGCAGCGGCTGCTGTATCGTCGAGGAGCGTCGGGGCTGCGGGGGCTGGAGCGAGCGATGTCGCACATCTCGAGGGGAACGAGGCAACTGGACCGGGAGGATCTCAACACGGTGATGGCCTACTGCGGGATCAGCATGGGAGCCGACGAGCTCGAGGAATCTTTCGCATACACGAGGACGGAGGTCACGTGCTGTGCGAGGACCTCAGCCGCAGCCTCCGCCCTCC